CAAATTAGTTACATGTCTTTTCAATACATGGCGGGTAGGAGGCTGTACTGACGATTTCCACTCCTAGCCGCATGCACTGTTCGGTCTGTGTATACAGCTAAGGGATGAAACACAGACTGACTGCATCGTGAAATGTCTTCTTATACATGATACCTAATTCCAATCTTTTTACTGCACTATTACACTCATGTATTGACCGCACCATCACATGGGGGGTGGGGAGAGAGGGGGGCAAGGGAGGGGAAGCAAAGGGGCAGTCATTCATATAGTACAGTGTTGTCTTTTCGCACTGCAGACGGTCCCAGTTATGCTGCGTTTGGGGGAGAAGTGCTAGAAGTGTCCAGATAATTTCAGTTTTCATGAACTGAGTCTATATTTGATGCGATTTTCTTCGTTTAGGATACAGCTGAATGTCAGGAACATTGCTTGAACACGGCTTTCCTCTGCGACCAGAATCACAATGAAAATAATCACAACGAGGACCTTGAACAGACTCGTCGCCGACGCCGCCTTTACTCCGAGACTGTAAGTGATCATCAGTTTTGTCGGCAGCTACCGGCCTTTTAAATGTATGCCATAAAACTCGATTATTAGTTCGGCATATTGAGCATTATTGATTTTGAAGAGATAATTTTTAGATGGACAATGAGTATCAGTTCCGGACATCGGGCACCACTGAAGCGCGCCATCACGTTAACAGTCACGAGGTAAAATCAGATTTTTTCTCAAGCCAGTGGATGCCAAGTTCAAATTTGTACGAGGAAGGTGGGGATGAGGGAGAGATGAATGAGTGGATGATGCCTGGCAACCGGGGGAGGTAAACTTGAATAAATGCTACTTTTCGGAAAAAAATCGAATTCGGAAAAACGACTCAAGAAACTCGAACTTTCGTCTTTTTTTACCGTTCGAATTTCAGAAAACAAACAGTAGGAATTGCTGCACTTCATGCGGTTTTATTGATATATCGAGAAATGTAACTTGTGGCCACGACAATGGGAAAGCAAGATTTCGAAGCGCTTCTGTATCCGCGGTTTGTTTTTTGAAGAAAAAATGTTCTGTAGTTTGCATGGTTTGGTTGCGCTACTTCTGTATCTTTTTGCGCTACTTCTCTATCTGTGGTTTGTTTTTTCATTGTTTTTTGAAGAAGTAGTCTTCTGATCTCAGCATTGCCTTGGTTGAGAAATGCAGCAGCGCACCCGTTAAAAGGGGAAAAAATTGCTGGATTGTTGACGTGTGGGACCTAAATTCGGAATTGTCACTTGAGTTATGAACGGAGTTAAGCACAGTCTGAAACTGAAGTGGTAAAGTAGCGCAAAAGTAAATGTTGTGGCATAGCTGCACGCGATGTCTGGAAGCTTCCCAGTAGTATCACTAGATTGGAATTTCCTGTACAAAGTGCAGCTGAAAGACAGTAAAGAAGCCACTAAATGAATCTGAATGACATAGTGACGATATTGGTTGTGACGATGTTGGGTTGAGGTCCTGGTTCGAGAAGATAATGAACGTAACACCTTGAAAAGGGTTTCCTTTTCGACGAACGGCGAAGACGAACAGAATCGTAACAATAACAAAAAAAAAACCCATCAGGGCAAACGGCTTTTATACTGTTTGCGGTCGAGCAAGCGGGTAGCGCTGGCCGACCATGCTGACTCGGCATGATCCTTATTGATCACGAAAGCGTTATCCGTTCTCGTGACAGGCATCATATTCCATCCCTGGAGCAGTTCATTTTGAGTGGAATACTGCTGACTAGTGATAAGCATCATTTAATTCATTTTACGCCGATTTTACTGGTATCTCTTGGAAGCAAAAAGTGAACAGAGATGAGTGGTGAACACGGACAAATATGGGGAAGCACCTTTATTGCGAATGCGAAGATAATGGAGCAAGGGGTGTTTGGAGGAAATTTTCGTAATTAAAGCGGCCAACAAGTGAATGGTTTGAAGCATACTGCTGGGATCATGAAAGGGAACAAAATTTGTTCGACAGGGGTGTCGCCTCTCTGGATGA